AATTGGATTAAAAAATTACACAAAAAAATGAGGAATTTCAAATAGTTAATTTGATACTAATATCGATATATTTTTGTCAAATTTTTATGATATCGTCAAACATATATTTTATTCAAAAATAAAAACAAATAAAATGAAATATTAAAAATACGATGTATCTCGCTGCATTGCGCGAGTACTCTTCTAGTTATATATAATATATTAATAAAATTATATACGTGGCGGAGCGAGAATATATTACCCTTCCCCAGCCCCAGCCCCAGTTTGAGTCTATCGGGGATCTCATGACCCATTTTAGTGGAGAATTCTCATCCTTGTTCGAGACGGCTGAACCAGATTCTTCACTGAATCGGGACAAATCACCATTCCTATTCTCATGCCTATTTTCAGATAATAAAACTGTCTTAAAGGAAAAAAAAATTTGATATTGTCCGATGTAAAGAAAAATTAACAGGAAATAGTTAAATAATATATATATTTAATAAATAAGATAATTATATTTTAAATATACCTAAGAAATAAAAACATACTTTCATTTTACCAAATAATTCCGTACAAAATATATGACCACTATCAATCTCCATTCTCTTTAGCATCCCATAATCTTCCCCGACGCAACTTCACCTTTTCCGGCGACAGCCACCGCCACCGTGCCATCATTTCCGGCCAACGCCCTATATTTGTCTTTCCTCGTGAAATTTGTACACTCATACGACAATGTCGAAGCGATCATCCTCTGAATATAATTCGCCACATCATGGCTTGATTTTCCGGTTGCACACGTCAGCTCGTATGGTAACTTGTTCAAGAAGTTAACTTCATAAGCTGGACTTGGATTCATAAAGAAGTAAAACGGATCCATCCCTTTCCACCCTCTCGCGGTGGTGCCATGAAACATCGTCATCTTGTTCGCCATCGCCACCGGAACCAGTTCGTCGGTGAGTTCTGCAAATAGAGCTGAAAATCGGAGCAAAAACGGTTCTCTACACGTGGTTCCTTCTGGACAGATCACCAAATCGCCTTCTTCTAGAAGCTTCTTGATCATTTCGGCGTCAGAGGTTCGGTTTCTGGTTAATCGGACGGTTTTGATCGGAGAAATGATCTCCGAGAGTCTGGAGAGAGAGTAGGTGACGGCGGGGATTGGCCGGCCGAGGGCGACGGAGAGGAAGATTGGGTCGAGAAGGGTGCGGTGGGAGCAGATGAACAGAACTCCGGTTTGGCCGGTGGATTTTTTGGCCGGCGGTGGTGGTGTTCCTTTAATGGTGACCCGAACTCCGAGAGCCCAGAAAGCGTAATACACTAACGGCATGGGGAGGAGTGCGCCGGCGGCGATACGTAAACATGCAAGGAGGAAACCTACCGGAATCCAGAGGATGGTGATAAGGGCGGTGAGTGGGGTTAGTTTGTGCACTAATCGGCCGTCGTGAAACACCACTGGTTTTGGCAGTTTGTCCACCGTCACCGGCTGAAGCTCCGCCGTTGCTGGTGGTACTATGTAACCTTCCTGAAGTTAAGAAGATAAAAGTTAGAGTAAAGTATGGTCTTTGTCCCTGTGGTTTGTTAAAACTACCATTTTAGTCCCTAGACTTTTAAGATTATGATTTTTATCACTATAATTTACAATTCATTATTTTTTTAAAATACGATGGAAATGCTTTTAAGGCAAAAATAGCATACGAATTGCAAATTAAAGGACAAAAACAGCAATTTTAAAATTACATGGATGAAAGTCGTAATTATTAATAGACCATAGGAACTAAAAATGTAACTTACTCTAAAAATTAATTCCCGATTGACTCAAAAAGTCAAACTTTAAACTGAACTCAAAATAAGTCAACCTTACAAAAATTTAATACCTTGCATAACTTCATGTATGGATAGTCAGTTTTCCGATCACCAAGTCCCACGTCCGGCAGTGGCGCGTCTTTAAACGCCTTCAAAAGAGCGTCAGCCTTATTTTTTCCGACGAGCACTCCGGGACTTTTCACCAGTCCGGTAGCTCTTCCTTTACAAATTCCGATCTCCGTCCCCAACACCAAATCGGCGGCCAAAAACTCCTTTAGAAACGGCTCCACCATCACCGTCGGGTTCGCCGTCAGCACACACCGCTTCCCAAACGCCGAGAACACGCGCCACGCCTCCGGGTGCAAGTCAACGGAATAAAACTTCGGCAAAACCGCACGCGCCACCGACTCGATATCCGAAACCTTCATTCCGGCGAAAGTAGCAAATATCAGAACACGAATTCCGGCAGACTCCGAGATGAAATAATAAAGAATTCCGGCAATCGGAGACGCTAGAAGCAAGAAGAGAAGCCTTAAAACTCCACCAACTTCAAATGCTACGAGTGCAAAATAAGGAAACGAACTCCGGCCGGAGAGCAAAGTCCCGTCCAAGTCTGAAACCACCGTCTGGTTTTCCCGGCCGAATGTTTCGCACTTTGAAATGGCCGGAAATTCACAAGGGTGATCGGAATTATTGAAATGAACCGCCATTGTTGTTGGGAAGATCGGAGAGAGATGGTGGTTATGAAGACACTGGTTTGGTGTTTGTTAGGAGTATATATAGTGTTGTGGGGGGTGGAGAATTCGAAATGTTGGTATTTATTAACCATTAAACTTTATTGGTTAAATCGTTTGACTGAAACAATTTTATATTTTCTTTTTGTTATTAAAAAATAAATACATGTAAATATTATTTCATCCGTTATAAAATAAATGTCAACGATAAAAAAGTAACAATGTTTGTCTGTACAGTTTAGAAATTACAAGATGTCCATCGTAATTTATAAAAACGTCAAGATTTAGAGATCGTTTATCAAACACTTATTCGGTAAGCGCTTATAATTTACTCTTAATAATAATAGAAGAAATTTTTTCTTCTATCACATAAATAATAAGAAAATAAACACTTAGGCTTTCTTTGTTTTTTGAATCGATAAAAGGGAAGTCATTCAGACTGTTAGTTTTTTTCAACTATTCAGAGACATTTATGTCTTACCGTTCTTTTATCTCGTAAGAGTTAAACAACTCATTATTTGCCTCTTATTGTTTTTCAGACATTCAACAACGGGCATTTCTCAATCACTCCTCTCTCGGTTGATTAACCCTTAAAATTGTATAAATGTATATAAATTCAAAATTATAATATTTTGAAGGTAAAATAGACAATTATATATATATTTTTAAACATCCATCAGTTTACAAAAAGAAACAGTCTTATTGATTCTGCTTTTAAACTTCAGTCCCACCTCTTATCAATCAGAAATGAAAACAAGATTTCAGATGTCAGCACCTCTTAAAAAACAAGATTACCTTACTTTTTAATGTAAAAGTCATTTTATTTTTTGATGGGTAAATTCTGAAATTAAATAACCGTTTTTTATTTTGAAATAAATTAATAGGTCTTCATTAAGGGGGTGTTTTGGATTGCTTATAAAAGCTATTTTTTAACTTATTTCAGTTTGACATCGGTGATAAGCTGTTTTCTAGTGTTTGGATAAGAAAAAAAAACTGTTTATACCGGTGCTAAACCGATAATAAGCTGTTTTTGATAAGTTAATCTTTCTTGACTTATGAAAAACTGGTTATTACCATTTTACAATTTTAACCTTATTTTATATAACTCTGGTTTAATACCACATAAGTTAATAAACACTTTTACAAAAAACATAAATTGTTTTAAATAAGTAATCTCAAACACCCCCTAAATCGTGTTGACATGTTTGATTATACAATCAGAGTTACACTGATATACTTTTTAAAACTCATATTTAACATGCTAATAAATGAGTAATAGAATTGAAGGTTGTCGATGGGTATTAAATGGAAAAGGGTAAAATGGACAATTGGTTTTAGAAAAGGACGCTTACGCGATTTCATAATGTAGGTCTTAGAAGCTCCTACTTAGGGAAATCCGATGACGATTTTGACCTTATTTCTCAATTTTAATGGAAAGCAAATAAAAGTATGATGTAGTCATCGATTTTTAATTATTTTATTAACTTAATAAAATTATTTAAAAATATCATTAAATTATGGTTTTGTTTTATGTGGTTTGGTTTCATCTGTTATATAGAAAGCCTTGTGGTGTGTACTTTGTTATGGTTTTGATTCTTGTATTAAACGGTCATTCATTGTTTTGGTTAATCATGAGGGTATTTCTGTCTTTTTGCTATTCGTTTTCTTAATGAAATTTTCATGCATTGGAAACCGTCACTACTCCCAATTCCGATGGATGCCCTCCCATGTATCAATGCCCCCTCCCTCTCCCTACTTCGATCAACCGCCTTCCTCCAGTGCTTCGATGAAACGCTTCCTCTGCTCCAATGAAACCCCTTCTCAATCCTACTCACTGATTGCATGAAAATCCAGTGTGTGTTTGTGTGTGTAAAATTTTATATCTATGGTCCTAATTCAAGCTAAGATACCAATCGCAGAGCCATGTTCGCCTCAGGTTCATCCGTTGCATGTTGTCGTTATGGACCCTGATTCTGTATCGATTTAGAGATATAGGTTTTTCTAGGGTTGGTTTAAGTTTTTGAGTTTAGGTGTCATTTTATGTTTTTGACACAGGTTTTGATTTGTGTTTTTTTATTTAAGATTCGTGTCACAGTCATTTTGGAATTAAGCTGTACTAAACCGTTATGGTATATTGATGTTCTTTATTGTTTATATGCAAAAGATGATTATTCAATCAGAGAAAATAAAAAAATAAAAACGAAAATGGAGATAAATGATGCACCCTCTAGAATTGTCGTACCTCGTAAAATTAGTTGAGGTATATATAAACTAGTATTAACATTTACTGTGTAAAATTTCAGACTAACCCGTACCTGATATTGTTCATTTTCTCCATACCTAAACTCAATGGTTTTAAGATGCATCATGGAAGAGGTATTCAGTCTCTTATAAGACAACTTTTGTTCTCATTTCAACCGATGTGGGATCTTACAATCCACTCCCTTTTGAAGCCCCGCTAAGACAATAGTCCAGTTTATCGGCTCTGATACCATCTACAACATTTCAATCTAATTTATACCAGATATTGTCCGTTTTATACACACCTGGACTCACGGTTTGTTCTTCTTTTTAAGGATGATGATTTGTCCCGACACGATGGAGAACCCAGCTCACTCGACTGGAAAGGGGGAGGGGGGTAACCATGGGTGGTTGGGTGTATCTTATCTCCTTACTAAATAACCATTAACTTGGTCAACAATTTGGCACCATCTTTTTTACGTTGCATGCCATGTTTGTCAGCTATTGCTTCATATTTCAGTAACTTTATTACTGTAAATAGTAATTATGTGCTTTTAGTTATCCCCCTTTTATTTATTGCATTATTTAAAACATAATGTCGTAATTATTTGTTAAATAATTAAAAATAAATGAAATTATATAAATAGAAATTAATAACAAGAGTGAATTATGTTAGTGGTCCCTGTGGCTTGCTTAATTATGGATTTGATCCTTAAAACAAACTATTTATACCGATGGTTTTTAATTTTTCATTTTCATAACACTCATGGTCCCTCTACTTAACAATGTTAGTTAGCAACTATTATGATATATTTGATAATAGTTGGGATAAATTCACTATTTTGACTATAGTAATCTCATATTTCAATATAATTTTCAATATTTTGCTCGTATATTTCAATTTTCAACTTGAATAAAATATGTCAATTTTTATTTTGATTTCTTTTGTTTTTCTAAACTTGTAATTTTGTAACACTATTTGTTTTTTGTGAATTTAATAATTTTTAAATAAATATAAATATTTATATTTTATATGTATTTTATTTAATATATTTGATTTATGGTTGGATATATAAAATATTTTTCTAGTAAAAAATGTAAATTATATTATATTTTAGAGCAAATTGCATTTTTGGTCCCTATAGTTTGTTCAAACCAATGAGTCCATCATAATGGTTGTTAACTAACATTGTTAAGTGGAGGGACCACGAGTGTTAACGAAATTAAAATTTAGAGACTATCAATGCATATAGTTTGTTTTTGGGACCAAATTCAAAATTTAAGCAAACCACAAGGACCACCAGTGTAATTGTTATAATTGTTTGATAATGAAATAATATGTGATTTGAACAACCCAAACCAATATTTGCGGTTTGAAAAATCTCAACTATAATTTTGAATATAACTAATTACTGGTTGGTCTAATGTACATATATTAATCAAAGACTTAATAACCATATTAAATCCATAGTATAGAAAGATATCGAATTCATCGATTTGGTTCAAATTATCCTAACCCAATTCCATCCCAATAGATGTAGTTCGGCCTAATTTTGTATCAACTATGTATCAGGTTTACATCGGGTTAAGATTTTTTTTCTGGGTTCTTCCAGATCGAGTTGACCTGGTTGGTCGACTTTTTGAGCACCCATATTTATAACGACTATGATTATGTATCAGCTATGTATGTTTCATTATTCAAAATCAAGTCTCTTATATGTATTTACCGTACGTAATATATGAATCGTTTTACCTAAAAAAATCCAGCGTTTAGTTTAAGAACATGTTTCATGTATCATTAAAAAAAGGTCACTTTTGCAAGATTAGTATACGTTAAAATTTAATGAGACAGTACCAAACCTACAAATATAGGATGGAGAAATGAACAAAAGTCAAACGAGCTAGAACTAACATCAGATATGTATACATACCAAACTTATAAACCCAAAATACGATAACACGTATCCGGAACAACGTATTTAATAATGCAACGTTAACCTGTCTCACACAAAAAATTGTCAAAAGGACCATTCACGTTCTTCTCCACCGAAACATCTGAAGTCATGCAATTGCAACCTCTATCTTAATTTTTGTGACGTCAGATGTTATGTTGTATTATTTTTTGGAATCCGTATGAACGTATTTACGTTAATATTCAATAAACGATGACTATAATGGTATAATGTAATGTAAATCATGAATAATAAATACTATAATTAATGTTGAAACATACAAGAGGTGGTAAAATATACAGGTTAAATAGCAAGTCAAAACGGTTCGTAGTTAAAATGCATAATTTATTAGCGTGGGTCAACTGCATTGAGTTGACCAACCAACGTCTTTTGTTCATTTTATTAAATTTTATCAATTGGTAATATACTAAATATGGTTTTATATATATATATATATATATATATATATATATATATATTTTACTGAAAAATTTTAAATGTAAAAAAATGATCTCATTAATCTAATAAAAATAGACTAGTCTCAGATAATCCCAAATCATGGGATCAAATTAAAAAGAATATAAAAATTTGTTTTATTTATAAGTAAATTGATTAATTATAAAATAAATATTATAAAAATTGAATATCGACTTGTACACAATGCTTCAATACTTGTATATTTAAAAATTAAATTTTTAAAGTTAAAGAATGA